CCTCCCAGCAAAAGGCTGACCCTGAGCCTTAAGCTTGTGCCTCAGCCCCCAGCTCTGCTCTGAGATGCAGATGCAACTCAGCCATCCCAGAGGGAGAAGAAACCTGAGTTCCAGGCTCATATTCCCACGTGGAGCAGATGGGGGAGTCCTCACCTCCTCACAGAGCTGCCCAAACGCTTCTCTTGTTTGTGTCCAGACACATCACTGGGGTTCATAGTATTAATTCACAGCTATCAGCTTGCAAATAAACACACTACAAACACTCATCCTGATACATCAGCCCCATTCCAAGGTTTGGAAGTGGTCCCATTTTAAGCCTCTCACACCTATTCGAGGGTTGGATGGTTTTCCCTCTCCAAGGAAGACGATTCCCTGATTATCAGCCCCACACACACACATACAAAATTACACTTCTGGACTAATATCAACGAAGCTTATAATATAGTAACAGCTCTGCTCCCTCCCACTAAGCCAGACGGAAAGGAGCATTGCTGGCATTTTGCTGTTACCAAAACAGCTACATTTTATGCCAGCGTCTTACAACCATCACTTCCTGAGATGTCTCGTTTCAAGCAAGCAGGGTGAGAGCAAGAAATGATTCCCATGAACCGGATCCTCCACTTCCCAACCCAAAACAACCGCCTTCCATACACCCTCCTCCTGCCCTCAAGCTCTGCAGCATCCAAACGATGCTGAAATGGTGCTTCCCACTCATCCCAAGTCTCACCCAGCCATCCAAGCTGGCCACGTGCTACTTTATACTTGTAATACCATGGAGACATGTGAAGAACCAAGGTCACCAGTGGAGCTATCAACCAGGACCTGGTACCAACCTGGCCAGTGATGGGCAGCAGATGCTGGCTGCAGCTCAGGTTTGCCTGCATCCACCTATCCACAGAACCGGTGCCTAAACCCATTCCCCTTTCCCCTCCAACTACCTGGATGGGAAGCTTGAGCAGCGACTCCAAATACCAGGAATCCTGCTTCAGATGGATGTTTAAAGGAAAAAGGAGCTGGGACAGATAACACCCACCACAGTCCAAGGGAGCACCCTGCATCAAAGAACCTTGCAAGTCAGCAACAAGAGCCCCATAGCAAGCAGAGGCAGGAATTAACCCAAAAGTTGCCCTGAGCCCACCTCAGCAGCAGCTCATAGGAACACCAGATCCATCCTATATTAACAGGGGCCATAAACTCCAGCTCTGAGCAGAATCAAGGAGAGGTCATGCTGCTGATGGCGCTGGTGCAAGCCAGCGGACAGCATTTGCTGGGCTGGGTTAAGCCCACTAAAGGCCATAGCAGAAGAGAGGAAAAGGAAAGCACCATCTGCTGAGGACGAACATTCACTTCCCAGCAAGCTTGGCTTACCTAAACCTAACTTGCTTAGGTAGGGATGAGCATCCCCAGCACCCCAAACCACTCCTCCTCATTGAGAAGACCTCCAGGACCAGCAGGGACCATCCCAGCCCTGCACAGCCTCCCAGCAGAGGAGATGCCAGCTGCAAGCACACCCATCCCACAGCCCCAAAGCACAAGAGCTGCACTCCAGGGCACAAAAAGCATCACTCAAATAACCCAGCCCTCGTGAGCAGGAAGGGACACTGGAGCTGGCAGCAACGAACAGTCCCTGAACCACACGAGCTGCTGCATCAGGCACCTTGAAGTAACCTCTGCTCAAACATCACCTACTTAGTGCAGGGGAGTTGCATGATGCTGGAGCAGAAGTGACCACTGAACCAGAGGCAAGACCCAGGCAGTGATAACGGTGCTTCTCTGCTCCTGACCTGCTTAAGACACAACTGCCAACGCTGCACTGCCTAATGCCGGTGGTAGAGGAGGTCCTAGGACTCCTTCCTGCTCTCATCAAGCACCAGGACGGCCTAAACCACAAGCCCATTAGAACATTATGTCATTAATGTCATCATTTGAGGCCCATTCAGTCATTTGTAGGGAATGAAGCCGTTGTATAAAGCTGCTTCACCACCCTATGCAAAAGCCAGGCTCCTCACAGGGCTCAAACACCCTCCCAGCAGCTGCAGGGCTGGGAGCTGAGGCTGCCCCATCTCAGAACCCATCCTGTGCTTCAGAACTTTGGCCTCTGTTGCCTTTTGGGCTGCGCAAGTGCCCCGCTACCACACCTGAGCCAAGGTCAGCATCTTTCAGAGCAAGCCTGGAGAGCTCCCTACTCTTCACCTCAACAAGGAGGCTACAGAGCCCAAAAGCCTTACACAGGGTTACTTAACCCCACAGGGAAAGGGCTGTGCTGCAATACCCAAAGTCCATTTAGTTACTGGATGCTGCTCCCAGGCTGCCTGCACAGCCCTTGGGCAGGCTCCCCCTGCCTCCTCCATGAGGGATCTCAGTTCTGCTGCTGGAAATGCTATAGAAGGTGGTTTCTGGAGCACAGGAGGCCACCAGAGGCATCAGCCCTTTACCCTCCTCAGGTGGCATCAAGCAGCTCATGTCTTCTGCTGAGACATGAGGCTAGAGCAGGAGTGCTGCAGCCCTGGGTCCCACACCAGCAGGTCCCAGATTATATCCCTTCAGCCTAACAAAACCCAGTCAACCTCTGGTTGTCAACACTTCCTCCAGCTATGTCCTCCTACAGAGCATCACCCACCATCACCATCACCACCACCACCGAGGCCAGAGCCCAGCGGTGACACCGGTGAGCCTCAGGACATCATTCTGCAAGAGGAAACACCAGCCCCTTGGGTCTCAGCACAGAGCCACCAGCGGCCATCCCCAGAACGCCCCACTTCCTTGCTCAGCCGTTGCCATCTCTCCGCTGATCCTGCTCCCGGATGTTTTTCCACCATCCCCTTTAAGGATGCGAGGCCCAGAGCAGAGGGTTCCTCCTCGCCTGCCTCTCCTGGGCTCCAGAAGATGAGGCCTCAGCTTGGAAGCGGCCTGAACCCAGCTCGGAGCCCATACACAACCGTGATGCCCATGTGCAGGGTGGTACCTGCTCATCCTCCACTTCCACCAAGGCATCACAGCCCTGGCACCCCGTATATCCCCGTACTGTGGGGCCACATCGCTGCATGCCCTGTGCTGCTGTCACATCAGCCCCCAGGCTCTCCACGCAGGCGACTGCTCCCCACAGCCCCCACCACCCCAAAACCACCTCTGCTCCCCGGAGCCCCCTTCCACATCACCCCAAAACCATCCCTGTCCCCACAACCCCCATCCTATTACCCCCAAAACCTCCCCTTCAAGACCGGACACAGCCCCCCCGGTGCCGGTACCCCCCCCGTACCTGCCCGCCTCCTGCTCGCGGCCGCGGGCCCCGCACACATCGGTCAGGCTGCCGGCCGAGGCGGGCAGCTCCCCGGCGCGCCGGGCCTCGGTGCTGGCGGCGGCGGCGGCGACCCCGGTGGCTGAGCCGCCGCTGCAGCTCTTGGTGCGGAAGAGGCGGCTGAGGCGGATCTTGAGCGAGCCCTTCCTGCCGCCGGGGCCGGCTCCCCCGGGGGCCGCGGGCGGCGGCGCGGGGCCGGGAGCTCCTCTACCGGTAGCTCTGGCGGCTCCGCGGCCGGGGGACCCCGGCTCCTCCTCGGAGCAGCTCCCGGCCTCGTCGGGCTCCAGCGCCTCCAGCACCAGCAGCGCATCGCTCGTCTCCTCGGCAGCGGGCCCGGCCGGCGGCGGCGGCGGCCCGAGGCACGGGCACCCCGCGGGTCCCTTCGTGCCCAGCCCGGGCGGCCGCAGCCCCAGCGCTGCCAGCTGCAGCTCCAGCCCGCCCGCCGGCGCGGCTCCCCACCCGGTCACCGCCTTGGGCTCCAGGGCGCAGCGGTGCCGCGGGCAGAGCAGTTCCCCGCCGCCTCCCGCCGGGCCCCCGCCGCCCGCCGCGGGGCCGCCCTCCTCTCCCGGCCGCCCCTCGGCCGCGTTGCGGAACACCATCAGCTGCGGCGGCGGTCGGGGGCTCCGCAGCGCCGCACCGCCCGCCAGCCGCCCGCCGCCGAGGCCCAGCGGCCCCGCGCCCGCAGCGCCGGTAACGGAGCCGCCCGCCGCGCCCGCCTCCGGCCCGGCCACATAGCCCAGGAGGCGGCTCAGCACCCGGTAGGAGGCCGCAGCGGCCGCCGCCGCGTCCCCGTCGCGCAGCTCAGCGCGGTGCATGGCTACGGCCGCCGCATGGCCGGGACCGGGACCGGCACAGGCACCGGGAGCGGGGCCGCGACCGGGCCGCACCGCCCACCCACCATCACGGCGCCGCGCCACGCCCCCTCACTTCCGCCATAGGCCACGCCTCCTGACGCAAACCACGCCCTCCCCTCGCTGGATGTGGACACGCCCTCTCGGGTCGGGGCACTTAGCGGGAATGGCGGGGGGGGGCCGGGTACCTCTGGGGCAGCACCGGCAGCGAACGGGGAGGCTGAACCCCCCCCCGGCACCGGGCAATGCGCGGGTGGACGGCGCCGTCCTGTGGCGGCTTCGGCTCGGCTTCGGCTCGGCTTCGGCTCCGCTTCGGCTCCGCCTCGGCTCGGCTCGGCTTCGGCTGTCGCACCCCTCGCACCCCACGGATGGAGGCGAGGGACCGGGCACCGGCTCTGCCCCCTCCCGCCCGGGGGCCGCTGAAGGGGGAAGTCACCGCTGCTCCGGGCAGGGGAGAGCGGCCCCAGCGGTGCCTCAGTTTCCCCTCTGCAGCAGGGCCAGTGCTGGGTGGGAGCTGGGACAGCATCGCCCAGCTGAGGGGAGGGGAGCATCAGGCTCTGCCATGGGGACCCTGCACCCACCGCCTATGGGGAGATCCCTATGGGTGCCCCACTTCCATCCCATCGCCGGGGTAGGGGGAAACTGAGGGCTTGAGGCCGGCACCATATGGGGAACCAACGGGAGATTCTCCCCCCGGCTGCCAGGGGGGCTGCGGAAAGGAGGAATATTCCCAGCCCTGTTGCCATGGCTTCCCATCAGGATGCGCTTGCATCACGGCCAGCACGAGGGGTGCACGGGTCCCCCCGGGGCTCAGGGCTGGGGGTATCGGGTGTCCCCACGGGCCTCAGGGCCGGGCTGTGGGGGTCCCTGTGGGGCTCAGGGCCAGGGGCTCCGCGGCACCGCATCCAAGCAGGAGCGCAGGGACAAGCGGGGGGGGGAGCTCCGAGCCCCGGCGCCAGCAGATGAGCACGTTTTGGAGCTGGTGACGTCTGCTCCGGCATCACCGAGGCAGGAAAACAAGCGGCAGAGCGCGATCCCAGCGCTGTGGAGCCGAGCAGGCTCCGGGGCACCGCGCCCATCACCATGTGCCCCCCGGCGGGGCCGCTGGAGGCCGGGGGGCTCCGCTGAGCCCCAGCCATGGCGCCGTGGCGGTGGCTGCTGCTCTGGTGCTGGCACACGGCGCTGCTCCATGGCCAGCGCCCACAGGACGGCCCCCCCCGCCCGGCGGGGTGGTCCCCGGCTCCATCACCCCCCTGGGGACCCACAGAGGAGCCGGGGGACGCCGAGGGCTCGGCGGCGGCTTTGGCGTTCCTGCGGACGGGCGATGCTCGGCGCCTGGCCCGAGCCAACTGCAGCCGGGGGGTCCCGGCGGCGGCCGCGGGTCCCGGTCCCCCCCCGGCGTTGCGAGCTGCGCTCCGTGCCGCCCCCGAGGCGCTGGCCCACGCCGCCAACTTCCTCAACATGCTCTTCCAGACCAACGACATCCGCGAGGCCAGCGTGGCCGAGGACGTGGAGTGGTACCAGGCGCTGGTGCGCAGCCTGGCCGAGGGGCACCCATGGGTGCGCAGGGCGGTGCTGGCCCTCGATGCTCACCCGCTGGCCGCCAAGCCCCGGCTGATGCTGCAGGCTACCAAGGGCGATGGCCAGATCCTGCTCCAGGATGTCTCCGCTGCAGCTCCGAGCCTCGGTAACCTCAGCTGGGACAACGAGTGGTTCAATGCCCCCAAATCCCAGCGGACCCCTGCCCTCCGCAAGCGGGTGCTCAGCAATGACCTGCGCAGCATGGAGACCCCCAAGTGGCAGCGGGGTGACAGCTACGTGGGGGACCCGGGCCATGTGCGGTGGTCCCCTCCGTTCCTCGAGTGCCGGGACGGCCGGTTCCTGCCTGCCTGGGCTGTCACGCTCTCCGCTGCTTTCTATGGGCTCAAGCCAGACCTCAGCCCTGAGTTCAAGTAAGTGGTACCCGGAGGGGCCGGAGGAGGGGTAAAGAGGGTTGGAGGGCGCCCTGTGTGCATGCTGGGGAGTGCGGATGGAGGCAGCACCTTGGGGTGCAGGCAGGATGCTTTGCCGGCACACTGCCTGCATCCCTGTGCATGTGTATGGCTATTTGCACACCCATAGGCACGGTGTGGACCCTTGTCCCCACTCGGGCTGCCACCCTCCGAAACCTCCTACCCTGTCACGGCCACTCTGTGGGGTGGGGGGTCCCTGCTGCACCCCAGCACCCCCTGTGCAAGCAGCCACAGTGGGGGACAATGGGGAGGGAAAGGGGCTCCTGGGTTTAGTCCTGGAGAGGGGATGTGTCTCCGTTTCCAAGGGGGATGCTGTGTCCCCCTCAGAGCACTCAGGGGAGAGGGTTGGTCCTGCAGGATGCAGGATGGCACCAGGGGCCACCCCAGCACCTCCTATTTCCCAGCCGTTTGCTTAAAGCCCCTTTTGAGAGGCAGAATCCACAGCCAGGAGCTGCTGCTCCAGCCTCCCTCAGATGCAGCTCCAAGGGGGGACTTATCATAGAACCATAGAACCATGGAATGGGTTGGGTTGGAAGGGACCTTAAAGCTCCTCCAGCTCCAACCCCTGCCACGGGCAGGGACCCCTTCCACTGCAGCAGCTTGCTCCAAGCCCCTGTGTCCAACCTGGCCTTGAACACTGCCAGGGATGGGGCAGCCACAGCTTCTCTGGGCCACCCAAGCACCCAGCACCCCCATGGTTGTGCCCTCCCCCGGTGCCTGTCCCGGTGGCATTGGTGGGGCATGGGGCCCACGCTGGTTGTGGACACGGGGCTGACCCCATCCCTCTGCACAGGGGTGTCGTGCGGGTGGACATCGAGCTGCGGGACGTGGCCATTGACCAGTGTGCCAGCGGGCCGGGCTGGTTCGCAGACACGCACCGCTGCGACCTCAACAGCACCCAGGTACCCGTCCACCAGCACCCAGCACCCCATCCCTTCACCCGGCAGGGCACCGCTCTGCCCCCATCCCTCCCTCCGACTGAGCTTTATCCTCTCCCGGCCCATCCATCTGCTTCCTTCCGCTGCAGTGGAGGGGTTTAGTGTGCAAATCTGCCCTCCCTGTGCCAGCAGCAGCCAGTGACCTGGTGCTCCCTGCCCAGACACCACGGGGATGGGTGGGCACCGCTGGGACAATCACCTCCATCCCTGCCGGTGATGCCAAAGCCTGTATCAGGGCTTGGCGCAACCATCAGCATCCCCAAGCAGAGCAAACACCGCAGCGACACGGCTCAGCGTGGTCCCCAAGTGGGAAAGGCGTCGCCAGCTTCTCTTTCCTCCGGAGGGATGGGCTCTGGTGCTGGGAATGTCTCCAGGACACAACAATACCCAGAGAAGCTGCCAGCACAGCCCATTGGGGGCAGGATGCGGGCAGAGGGGATTAGGGCAGCACCGCTGCCGTCATGGCTGGGCAGGATTAGTGTTCTCTGCTGCATTATGTGTCCATTTAGGGTTTAGGGAGGGATTTGGGGGCCAAGCTTTGGCTTTTAATTCTTCAATGTTTAACCACTGCACAGGGGGAGAGCGGCCTGGGGCAGGTACCTGTGAGACAGGGGATGCTGGAGCCTCTGGTGTGGGAGGGATGCAGGGATAGGGGGAGTGTTTGGGATGTGGGATGAGCCCTTCCATGCATCCCAGCCTGTCGCCTTCAGTGTATCCCGCAGGAGAGCCACGGCTTCGTCCTTGGGAGGTACCTGTGCCGGTGCAAGCCGGGCTTTTATGGGGCCAGTGGAGCAGCCCAGGCAGGTGGGTGCCCATTTCACCCAGTGGGACATGGCCACTGCAGTGGGGGCTGAGGCTGGGGGGGGGGGGGGGGGGATTTGGGAAGCCCAAGCCCATTCCCTGGCAAGGAAAGTGCCTCCAAGTGATGCAGTGATTGTAACCACGAGTAATGAGTGATAGAAGAGGAACCGGCCTCAAGCTGCACCAGGGCAGGTTTAGGTGGAGCTGAGGAACAATTCCTTCCCCAAAGGGTGCTCAGGCATTGGAACAGGCTGCCCAGGGCAGGGCTGCAGTCACCGTCCCTGCAAGTGTTCACACACCCTCAGTGCCATGGGTTAGTGGTGGCCTTGGCAGTGCTGGGGACCGGTCAGACTCAATCTTAGAGGTCTTTCCCAGCCTGGTTGGGTCCATGATAATTCCATGATCCTCTTCCAGGCACAGCGGGGGCAGACGGGGGGTCCCTGTTGGGATGCCGGCCCTGCCGCCAGGGATGCTCCACCTGCCAGGACGATGCTCCCTGCCTGATCCAGGAGGACCGGGCGCTGCGGGCAGCCGTGCTGTCCTGCCAGGCCTGCTGCATGCTGGCCATCTTCCTCAGCATGCTGGTCTCCTACCACTTCCGACGGAGCAAGGCAAGGTGTCCCCATGTCCCATGCCCCCTGCCCTGCTCCCATCCCCAAACCCCATGGGCTCAAGGCTCCTGGCTGCATCCTCACACCTGTGTCCCCGCAGAGGATCCGGGCATCCGGAATCATCCTCCTGGAGACGATCCTCTTTGGGTCCCTCCTCCTCTACTTCCCAGTGAGTATCCAGCTGGCAGAGGACTCGGTGTAAGAGCCTCTGAGGCCTGGTGAGGGTCGGGGGCTGGCCCCAAGCAGGGCATGGGCACAACTCCACCTGATTGTGGATTCGCTGGCACAGCCCCCGGTGGCTCCGGTATAAACCTTGGGAAACCAAATCCCTGCTCTCCCAGTGGCGGCAGGAGTTAATCCCTGCCCAAATCCCCTCTCCCTCCCACAAGAGCCGTGCCAGGTGCTGTAGAGCCAAGGGGGAAGGATGGCAGCGGTGAGCACTGACTGCATCCAGCTCTGGGGCGGCAGCACAAGGGGGACATGGAGCCATGGGGATGCTACGAGGGCTGGAGCAGCTCTGCTCTGGAGCCAGGCTGAGAGAGCCTGGAGAAGAGAAGGCTCCTGAAGGGGAGACCTGAGAGCAGCTCCAGTGCCTGAAGGGGCTGCAGGAAACCTGGAGAGGGGCTTGGGACAAGGGATGTAGGGACAGGCCAAGGGGAATGGCTTGAACCTGCCAGAGGGGAGACTGAGATGAGCTCTTAGGCAGAAGCTCTTCCCTGTGAGGGTGCTGAGGCACTGGCACAGGGGGTTGGAACTGGATGAGCTTTAAGGTCCCTTCAACCCAAACCATTCCATGATTCCCTGGTTTCCGAGTCTCCATCCATCCCCGCTCCACCACCAACCCCTCTCTCCCCCCACCTCAGGTGTTCATCCTGTACTTCAAGCCCAGCATCTTCCGCTGCATCGTCCTGCGCTGGGTCCGCATGCTCGGCTTCACCATCGTCTACGGCACCATCACCCTCAAGCTGTACAGGTACCAGGATGGAGGGGGGGCTGGATGCTTGTGCCCCCCGCAGCAGGGATCCACTGGGGCTCACCCCTCTGCCCCTCGCAGGGTGCTGAAGGTGTTCCTGTCCCGCACGGCCCAGCGGGTGCCCTACGTGTCAAGCATGCGGGTGTTGAAGATGCTGGGGCTGATCCTGGTCCTGGTGCTGTGGTTCCTGGCGGCCTGGACCATCGGGATGCTGGAGAACGTGGACAAGAACATCCCGCTGGTGATCCGCACCCAGACTGCCGGCGGCCTCCACTTCTACATCTGTGGCCATGACCACTGGGACTACATGATGGTGATTGGTGAGACCAGCACCCTCCCACCCCAGGACCCCATCCCATAAATGCAGCCTTGCTTTGTCTGTTTAATGTGCCTTGGAGCAGGGCTGGGGCACCCGAGCTGCCTCCCATCCTCTCCTCTGAGCATCCCCAGCGCTGGGGCAGGGTACATCCCTGGGAGCTGAGCCCTAGTGATGCGCAGGGGTGTCAAGGGATGCTCCGCACCAGAGCCAGCAGATGAACCCGCAGGGCTGGATGTGCCCCAGGGCAGGGAGGTCCCAGTGGGTAGCAGCACCGGTACCCATAAGAACACGCTGACAGTGATGGTGCTGGGTGCTCAGCATCACTCCCCTTGCTCTCGCCCACAGCTGAGCTGCTGTTCCTGCTGTGGGGCAGCTTCCTGTGCTTCGCCACGCGCGCCGTGCCCTCCGCCTTCCACGAGCCTCGCTACATGGGCATCGCGCTGCACAACGAGCTCATGATCTCGGCCACCTTCCACGTGGTCAGGTAGGACACGGGGCTGCCAGGAGCTGGGAGACGCCATTCCCATCCCCGGCAATGCCAAGGAACCGGTGGCAAATCCCCTGCCAGGTTCATCGTGGTCCCCTCGCTGCACCCGGACTGGACGCTGCTGCTCTTCTTCGCTCACACCCACGGCACCATCACCATGACCCTGGCCCTGCTCTTCATCCCCAAGGTAACGCTCATACCAAAGGGGGATCCCAGCGTTTCGGGCCCCCCCCCCAGCTTGAGCTCTTCCCTACTTGTCCCCCCCCTGCAGTTCCTGCACACGGGCTCGCCGCTGCGGGAGGAGATCACAGCCGAGGTCTATGAGGACGAGCTGGACATGCGGCGCTCGGGCTCCTGCCTCAACAGCAGCATCGCGTCGGCCTGGAGCGAGCACAGTCTCGACCCCGATGACATTCGGGTGGGTGCCACACTCAGGACCTTCTTTTGACGCTTGCTCTGCAGAGTAAGAGGTGCCTTTTGCAGTCTTTCTCCTGATGCAAAGCGGATGGGGTGGGAAGAACGGGGTGGGGTGGGAGGAGGGGGCACAGGGTGAATCCGCCAAAGCCACGGGGTCGGGGGGGAAACCTCCTGCATCCCTTGGGATGGAGGGATGGGGATTGGGTTGTGGGTGCAGCCGCAGCCCCGTTGGACGCGCTCTCCTCTCCCTGCTCTCTGCCCGCGGCACAGGAGGAGCTGAAGAAGCTCTACAGGCAGCTGGAGGTGCACAGGAGGTGGCGGATGGCAGCGCTCAACCCTCACCTCCCCAAGCAGCGCAGCGCCCGCCGCAGCCTGGCCCGCTCCATCGCCCACCGGGTCACCGAGCTGCCCGAGGCGCTCGCACGCCGCCGCCGCAGCAGCAGCACCCGTGGGTCCTCGGCCAAGCAGCTCCTCAATGCGGGTACCACGGACGTGAGGATGCGGGATGATGGCTCCCGCAGCACTGAGGGGGTCCAGGGGGGTTCACCCATCCTTGCTGCCCCCCAGGAGCCTGCGCCGGGGAGGAAGATGATGGTGACGGCGGCCTCGGAGCAATCCGACAGCGAGTCCCTCGATGCTGCTCCGCTCGTGTACAAGTCAGCCAGTGCCCACAACCTGGTGGGGCACGGGCATTCCCCCCTGCCCCGCGCCCCCCCCTTGCACAAGTCGCTCAGCGTGGTGGCCGGGGCGCAGGATGAAGCCCTGCTCGCCGCCAGCCGCGCTGCATGGGGGAAGGAACACATCGAGCATCCATTCAGCCTGGCCTCGGGGCACCCCACGGCACAAGGACCCCCCAAGGAAGATGGGAAGCCACAAAGCCCTGATGCTGATGCTGTCCCCAGCCCCGCCGAGGGGTGCTCGCGGTCTGTGTCCCCCCTGGGCGATGGCAGGGTGCAGAGACACGTCACCTACGCGCCCATCAAGAGCATCAGCGTCGACGGCTCCCATCACCCAGGGCGGGTGCGGATGGTGGTGGTGAGGAGAACCCCACCACGGCCCCCAGTGCGCTGCCAGAGCCTGGGGCAGCGAGGACCAGCGGCCGGGGACAGCCTGGGGACAGCAGAGCCACCCGTGGCACCCCCAGCAGCAGGGATGAAGGAGGAAGATGCGGGGTGCACATCGCCCGCAGCATCCATCCCGGCACAGGTCTGTCCCTGGGAGCTGGTCCAGGAGGAGATCCTGAGCCGGAGGGAAAGAGCCACCCAAGCAGCAGGGTCGGGGACCACCAGTGACACAGCAGCCACTCCCCCCAGCATCAAACCATCCGCCCAGAAGATGTCCCTCTGGAGCCTGGGCCTGGCCATCAAAGCCTTCAACAGATCCAGAGGGAAAAGCATCCCAAAGGGAAAGAGGGAGAGCGAGGGGAGCCTCAGGAAGAGGAGGGGGGGCAGCAGCAGGAGGGAGAGGCCAAGCCCAGCAGAGACATCGGCCGTGTCCCCTGCAGGGACCACAGGCTCCGAGCAGGGCTTTTGCCAGCACAACAACAACGCCAGGGCCGCTGCGGGCGATGGAGAGGAGCCAGGTGAGGAGCAGGGTGCTCCCCATGGGGATGCGGATGCAGGGCACAGGGCCCCATCAAGCTCTGGTCACCAAGAAGGAGCTGAACGACCCCATGAGCCCCCGGTGGTGGTGGCACAGCCCCAGCCACAGCAAGGGGATGAGGCTCCTGTGGCCACACCAAAGGAAGGGCTCGAGGGACCCAGCGGGTCCATCCCCTGCCAGGACCACACAGAGGTGGAGCAGCCACGGGCAGGACCCAGCGCGAGCAGCTCCCATCCATCCATCAGTGATGGGCAGAGAGCAGCTGCTGAGGAGCTGGAGGCTGAGGTTTGGCCCCAAGGAGCCCTGGATGGCCCAGCAGGAACCGTGTGCCAGGGGGAAGGCAGCAGCCACCCTGAGCCCCTTGGTCCCAGGGACATTGGGAAGGTCCCTGCAAGGAGATGGAGCGAGGAGATGGCCCCGGTGGGCAGGAAGGCACAGGTCTATGCTAGGGACAACCAGGCTGATTCCAGCATCAAAACAGGGATCTGCCTCTGGGAGGAGAGCAGGGAGGACCCTCAGCATCCCAGGGAAGAGCTGGGCATGGAGAAACCATCAGCAAACCTCTCGGAGCTGCTGGAGGGGCCTTTGCAGGGCAGGAGGGGCCAGGTTTGTCCATGGGAGACCCTGGAAGAGGGGAGGACCACGAGAGCAGCAACCGGCCCCTGGGACGCAGAGGGGGCTGAGCCAGAGCAAGAGGGGCAGGAAGCAGAGAGGAGATGGGTAGGTGAGCGGGGCAAGAGCATCAGGGCAAGGTCCCTGGGGGTGGTGGGAGCTCCAAAGCCACCCAAACCTGGTCCCAGCAGCTTCGAGCTGCCAGAAGGGATCCCAAAGAGCGCTCGGGCTTCGGTTTGTCCCTGGGAAGCGACGGGAGCTGATGGCGATGCAGGAGGGATTCGCCCTTGGGAAGGGGGAGCAGCCGCATCCAATGCAGGGAAAGCAGAGGATGGTGACACCTCCCAAGGGGAAAACGGGATTTCCCCACAGGCAGCAGCCCCAGGGGGCACGGGAGGGATGGGTTTGGCTGCAGACAAGGGGAGCACCCAGCAGGGATGTCCCTGTCCCGGGGAGGGTGCGGGGCAGCGCAGCACAGGGCTCGCAGCAGGACACCCAGCTCTGCCCAAAGCCGAATCCAAGCACGCAGGAGCCATGGGCAGCAGCAAGGCCAGCGTTTGTCCATGGGAAGCAGAGGTTGAGCCGCTTGCCAAGGCAGAAATCTGCCCCTGGGAAGAGCCTGAAGCTCCATGGGGGAAGGACAGAGCAAGGCAGGACACGCGTGGCACTTCCAAAGGGGGAAACAAACCGGTGACCAGAGGCCTGGAGGGCGTCAAAGCAAAGCTGGCAGAGGTGGGAGGCCATCACCCGGAGCACAGGAAGAGCAGGAGCTTCGCAAACCTCATTAGGAAAAGCATGGAGAGCCCAAAAGCCAAATCCAAGAAATCCCAGAGTGCGGAGAGCATCAAAGAGGAAGTTTGTCCATGGGAGAGCCTGGGTACGGAGCAGCCCATGGAGCATCCCCGTGCCAGGAGCCCAGCGCTGCCCAGTGCACCTCCAAGAGCATCCCAGAGTGGGGAGAGTCTGAAGGCAGAGGTGTGTCCTTGGGAGGCTCCAGGGACTCAGTCCATGGACAAAGCAGAGATCTGCCCCTGGGAGGGGGCTGCAGCTCCATCAGGTAAAGAGGAACTAAGGCAGGACAAGGATGCTCTGTCCATAGGGAGAAAAAGCCCCTCCACAACAGAAGGTGCCTTCAAAGGTATTGAGCATCATAAGTCTGCAAAGGAGAAAGCAAGCATGGAGAGCCTGAAGGCAGAGGTGTGTCCTTGGGAGGCTCCAGGGGCTCAGTCCATGGACAAAGCAGAGATCTGCCCTTGGGAGGTGGCTCCAGCTCCATCAGGTACAGAGGAACTAAGGCAGGACAAGGATGCTCTGTCCATAGGGACAAAGAGCCCCTCCACAATGGAAGGTGCCTTCAAAGGGATTGGGCATCGCACATCTGCAGAGGAGAAAGCAAGCATGGAGAGCCTGAAGGCAGAGGTGTGTCCTTGGGAGGCTCCAGGGACTCAGTCCATGGACAAAGCAGAGATCTGCCCCTGGGAGGGGGCTGCAGCTCCATCAGCTACAGAGGAATCAAGGCAGGACAAGGATGCTCTGTCCATAGGGAGAAAAAGCCCCTCCACAACAGAAGGTGCCTTCAAAGGTATTGAGCATCATAAGTCTGCAAAGGAAAAAGCAAGCATGGAGAGCCTGAAGGCAGAGGTGTGTCCTTGGGAGGCTCCAGGGGCTCAGTCCATGGACACAGCAGAGATCTGCCCTTGGGAGGGGGCTGCAGCTCCCTCGCAGCAGCTGAAGCCAAAGCAGGGCCCTGGGGGAGTGCCCAAGGGGGACAAGCGCATCAGGCGCCAGGCAGCGCTGGCCAGCCCAGGGAGAGCCCTGGAGAGGGGCAGCAGCAAGCGAGAGGCTGCGTGTCCATGGGAGAGCCTGGACAAGGAGCAGCCCATGGAGCATCCCCGTGCCAGGAGCCCAGCGCTGCCCAGAGCGCCTCCGAGAGCATCTGAGAGCAGGGAGAGCCTGAAGGCAGAGGTGTGTCCTTGGGAGGCTCCAGGGGCTCAGTCCATGGACAAAGCTGAGATCTGCCCTTGGGAGGTGGCCGCAGCTCCATTAGGTACAGAAGAATCAAGGCAGGACAAGGATGCTCTGTCCAGAGGGAGAAAGAGCCCCTCCACAACGGAAGGTGCCTTCAAAGGGATTGGGCATCGCACATCTGCAGAGGAGAAAGGAAGTGTGGAGAGCCTGAAGGCAGAGGTGTGTCCTTGGGAGGCTCCAGGGACTCAGTCCATGGATAAAGCAGAGATCTGCCCTTGGGAGGTGGCCGCAGCTCCATCAGGTAAAGAGGAATCAAGGCAGGACAAGGATGCTCTGTCCATAGGGACAAAGAGCCCCTCCACAACGGAAGGTGCCTTCAAAGGGATTGGGCATCGCACATCTGCAGAGGAGAAAGCAAGCATGGAGAGCCTGAAGGCAGAGGTGTGTCCTTGGGAGGCTCCAGGGGCTCAGTCCATGGATAAAGCAGAGATCTGCCCTTGGGAGGTGGCCGCAGCTCCATCAGGTAAAGAGGAATCAAGGCAGGACAAGGATGCTCTGTCCATAGGGACAAAGAGCCCCTCCACAAGTGAAGGTGCCTTCAAAGGGATTGGGCATCGCACATCTGCAGAGGAGAAAGCAAGCATGGAGAGCCTGAAGGCAGAGGTGTGTCCTTGGGAAGCTCCAGGGGCTCAGTCCATGGACACAGCAGAGATCTGCCCCTGGGAGGTGGCTCCAGCTCCATCAGGTAAAGAGGAATCAAGGGAGGACAAGGATGCTCTGTCCATAGGGACAAAGAGCCCCTCCACAACAGAAGGTGCCTTCAAAGGGATTGGGCATCGCACATCTGCAGAGGAGAAAGGAAGTGTGGAGAGCCTGAAGGCAGAGGTGTGTCCTTGGGAGGCTCCAGGGACTCAGTCCATGGATAAAGCAGAGATCTGCCCTTGGGAGGTGGCCGCAGCTCCATCAGGTAAAGAGGAATCAAGGCAGGACAAGGATGCTCTGTCCATAGGGACAAAGAGCCCCTCCACAACGGAAGGTGCCTTCAAAGGGATTGGGCATCGCACATCTGCAGAGGAGAAAGCAAGCATGGAGAGCCTGAAGGCAGAGGTGTGTCCTTGGGAGGCTCCAGGGGCTCAGTCCATGGATAAAGCAGAGATCTGCCCTTGGGAGGTGGCCGCAGCTCCATCAGGTAAAGAGGAATCAAGGCAGGACAAGGATGCTCTGTCCATAGGGACAAAGAGCCCCTCCACAACGGAAGGTGCCTTCAAAGGGATTGGGCATCGCACATCTGCAGAGGAGAAAGCAAGCATGGAGAGCCTGAAGGCAGAGGTGTGTCCTTGGGAAGCTCCAGGGGCTCAGTCCATGGACACAGCAGAGATCTGCCCCTGGGAGGTGGCTCCAGCTCCATCAGGTAAAGAGGAATCAAGGGAGGACAAGGATGCTCTGTCCATAGGGACAAAGAGCCCCTCCACAACGGAAGGTGCCTTCAAAGGGATTGGGCATCGCACATCTGCAGAGGAGAAAGGAAGTGTGGAGAGCCTGAAGGCAGAGGTGTGTCCTTGGGAGGCTCCAGGGACTCAGTCCATGGATAAAGCAGAGATCTGCCCTTGGGAGGTGGCCGCAGCTCCATCAGGTAAAGAGGAATCAAGGCAGGACAAGGATGCTCTGTCCATAGGGACAAAGAGCCCCTCCACAACGGAAGGTGCCTTCAAAGGGATTGGGCATCGCACATCTGCAGAGGAGAAAGGAAGTGTGGAGAGCCTGAAGGCAGAGGTGTGTCCTTGGGAGGCTCCAGGGGCTCAGTCCATGGACAAAGCAGAGATCTGCCCCTGGGAGGGGGCTGCAGGTCCCTCGCAGCAGCAGAAGCCAAAGCAGGGCCCTGGGGGGGTGCCCAAGGGGGACAAGCGCATCAGGCGCCAGGCAGCGCTGGCCAGCCCAGGAAGAGCCCTGGAGAGGGGCAGCAGCAAGCGAGAGGCTGCGTGTCCATGGGAGAGCCTGGACAAGGAGCAGCCCATGGAGCATCCCCGTGCCAGGAGCCCAGCGCTGCCCAGAGCGCCTCCGAGAGCATCTGAGAGCATGGAGAGCCTGAAGGCAGAGGTGTGTCCTTGGGAGGCTCCAGGGGCTCAGTCCATGGACAAAGCAGAGATCTGCCCTTGGGAGGTGGCCGCAGCTCCATCAGGTAAAGAGGAACCAAGGGAGGACAAGGATGCTCTGTCCATAGGGACAAAGAGCCCCTTGCCAAGGGAAGGTGCCTTCAAAGGGATTGGACACAGCATGCCTGCAGAGGAGAAAGCAAGCATGGAGAGCCTGAAGGCAGAGGTGTGTCCTTGGGAGGCTCCAGGGACTCAGTCCATGGACAAAGCAGAGATCTGCCCCTGGGAGGGGGCTGCAGCTCCATCAGGTAAAGAGGAATCAAGGGAGGACAAGGATGCTCTGTCCATAGGGACAAAGAGCCCCTCACCAAGTGAAGGTGCCTTCAAAGGGATTGGGCATCGCAGGTCTGCAAAGGAGAAAGGAAGTGTGGAAAGCCTGAAGGCAGAGGTGTGTCCTTGGGAGGCTCCAGGGGCTCAGTCCATGGACACAGCAGAGATCTGCCCCTGGGAGGGGGCTGCAGCTCCATCACGTACAGAGGAATCAAGGCAGGACAAGGATGCTCTGTCCATAGGGACAAAGAGCCCTTTGAAAAGTGAAGGTGCCTGCAGAGAGATTGGGCACAGCACACCTGCAAAGAAGAAGAAAGCAAATCTCGACCTTGAGTCCATCTGCCCCTGGGAGAGCCTGGACACGGAGGAGCAATCCCTGCGAACAACAGGGAAAGAGCCATCCAAGAAGTCCGACAGCACAGAGAGCAGGAAAGCTGAGATTTGCCCCTGGGAAGCAGCAGAGCCCAGTGGCTCAGAGAAGGAACTCCCACAGGGAGCTGATGGAGCATCCTCCCCTGGGATGGGAGAGTCAAAGGTGGTGCTGGGAGCCAGCACCGTGTCTCCACCAGCCCCAAGGAAGAAACCCAAGGGCAGACCTGGCAGCGAGGCCAAGCACAAGCCCCTGAGCCGCATCCAGCCCCGGCGGGGCCCTGGGGCAGAGCTGCTGCCTTGGGCAGCGGGTACAGCCCCTGGGACAGGCAGCAGCCCCAGCCCAGCTGAGGTTTGTCCCTTGGAAGCAGAAGAGGCTCCACCAGCAGATGACAAGACCAGCACAGATGGGAGGAAAACCTCAGCGGTGTGTCCATGGGAGATGGAGAGTGCGGATGCCACCCAGAGCGGAACCAAAGCAGACATCTGCCCTTGGGACCATGAGTAGCTCCCTCCTGCCAGGGCCATCAGCCAGCTGCAGACATGGTTTTCATGAACACAAGGTCTTGAGCTGAAGGCCGATGCCCAATGGCACAGCCCAAGCAGGGACACAAGTGTCCAGCGAAGCCAATGGCATGGCCATGCTTCCAGAAGTCACTGGTGGTGGCCTTGGGGACCAGTGCAGTGAGGGGACAATGAACATCTCCTACCTTCATCAAGCTCTCCAGATGGGTGCAAACACCACCCATCATTTTCCCACAGGTAGGTGCCCCAGTGCAGGGTCACTGGTCCAAGCAGGCACCTGAATATGTTAAAATACATAGGGAAGAGTCAAACCAGGGCAGGAAGATGATGCAGCAGGGGAGGAAGCCAGCTTCCCCCAGTGAAGGTTTTGGCTCTCTCTGAATCCACACAAGGCTCAGAGCTCGTTCTGCTGTTCCTTTGTTGTTTGATTGCACTCTCCTTAGAAAGGGATGCTGGTGTCATGTGCTGTCTGTGGTCTTCAGCACTGAGTGTTCCACGATCATCCGATGGTGTAAGTAAGTGTACATACAGACAATAAAACATATTATCTACAGAGCACACGCTTTAGTGGCTGGTTTATGGGGTGTGGGCAAGATACTGAACATTCTCAAGAAAGAGGTACAGCAGAAAGCAGCGAGGCTGGAAAGGAAACCCAGAAACACAAGTGGGTGAGTTGCAGAGGTTTGAATAATGGCAAAGCTGATGGGCAGCCACACATTGGCAGACTGGAAGGAAAGGCCTTTCTCCCTGGAAAAACACAGCTACTCCACCAGAAAACTCAACTCTTCTCATCCAGAGCCAAAGAACCTGGTCTGCAGGTCCTGGTTGAGGAGCCACATCCATACCTGCTCATGAGCTGCCCAGACACCAGCCAGGCAGCTCATCTGGGTTTATTTTAGCTCCCATATGCTGGAGCACTGAATCTCTCCTCGGCTCATAAAGGAAGTGTAGGCAGAAGGCTCAGTATAGTAGGTTCCTTCAGGAAAGGCAGACAGATTGTGACACCCCTCTGACTTCCCAAAAAGATGACAGGGATTCCATTGCTGGCTCCTCTCCTAACAGAGCATAGGGATGATACTCTGCCCTTTCAAAAGGACACAGAAACACTGAACATGGAAGCATCAGGAGCCATAACTCTTTCAAACAGCACACTCTGTACGAGAAAGAAGGAAACAATGCTCCTAACTCATAAGCTCTGGAAAATGGCCGAGTTAAAAAGCAAGACACGGCTGAAGAAAATGCTTTGTTACCTGATAACCAGCAAGTATTTTGCTCTGTAAATGGAACTCCCCTGAGCAAAGCAGAGCAAGAACAGATTAGCCTTGCTCTCAGCTATGGAAAAAGGAAACCTGTGGGTACGCATTTTCCCAACCCACTCAGCCTGCAAAACCAGGGCCCTGATGGCAATGTCATTGTGTCCACAGGATGGTGCCAGCCACTCACTGCCACCACCCCACTGTTGAATTCAGGAGCAGCTCTAACTAATGCTCCAAAACTCATCAGCAAAGACAAATGCTCTTTCAAGAAGGCAAAAGATTTTATTAAGTTATCAATGCTGTGCTGCAGCCCCTCTGGGAACCTGGGCCCTTCACAAGCATTCACTCAGGAAGAGTCCAACTGCAGCACCCACCCAGGAGAACGTGATTTCAAGTGTGCTTGCCTGTTCTGCCCAGTTTTCTGTCTGGGAATCACTACAGAGAGGATGGGAAAAGAAAGTGCTGATGCCTACTGCAAGTTTGAATGAAAGGCCAGCAGGTCTATGCCACTTCCCATGGCAGAGGCAAATACCCCATGTGTGAACAGAGTGCTGCTGCCAAGGGCTCCTTTCGCAGGGCAAGCTCAGGACAGGGTTAGCCTTGAGAGCACTCCTGAAGAGAACAGACTTCTTGTCTTCACAGAAACACAGAGAGGGTTAAGCTGCAGCACACTATGTCTACCTGGAGTAAAGCTCTTCTGAGAGCTCACCTGAATCCCCTTGCCAAGCCCCTCTTGTTCTTTAAAGACAAATTCTTAGTGAGCAGAGTCCATTTCTGAAACTGCTTTGTTTGCTGACTGCCCACTGGAAAGGCACAGCCATATCCAAGCTGTTACCTCCACATTCATCCTCCACTTCTTCCCTAAAGGGTTGCTTGCATAGGCTGTCTCTGTACAGGCTCTGGAACTTCCTACTTCATTTCTTCGTACTCTTGTGAGGGATCCAAGGTTGGGCCAGGAATCAGCACCGTCTGAAAAAGCAGGGAGCAAAATCAGCATGACACAGAGCAGCTCTGAACTGCTGCGATCGGAATTCTTCATGTTGCAGTGCATGCAAAGGGGTGAGCAGCAGGTCCTGGCAACGCAAAGGCCTCACACACAGGAGAGGACCAGATGGCAGCAGCACGGGGGAAGGACACAGGGGAAATGGGATGATATGCCTTCTACGACAGGATAGTTCTCACCTCCTTCCCCTCTAGGACCTGTTTTTAGTTAACACAGGAAGACTGAGCGCCTGCATGGCTTTGCCTGGCAGTGTGTGCAGGGAGCAGTAACCCCCTAAACTATCACATACATGACAAATGCCCTCAGCCTCCTATTAGAGCTTCCAGGTGCTAGAGGTTGATAATGCCACATTAATAAACAGGTCTGCTTGCAGATTAATCCACCACCTTCCTGTCACAGGAAACTCAGCTTTGGTTTTGTCCAGAATTATCCAGGGACCACATCAGTGCCTTTTCCTAGTGGCATTACCTTCACAATGGGGTCCTTTGGAGGAGCCCACTTGGGAACGATCTTGCCATGCATCCTCCACGTGCCGTACGGGTTCACCAAGTACTTCTCAAACACGACATACTCCAGAACGTCCTTGGGCACCTGCTCCCCACCATACATCAGCCTCCCAAAGCGGTCATAGATGGCCAGAATCTGTAAAATGAACCAAGTTATGGTGGGCTGGCAGGAGGCTGGAGGCAGCTGGGGAACACGAGGAGCACAAGGGGATGTACCTGCCGCGTGTGCATCCGCACCGTCACCTGCCCGTAGAGGTTGCCTCGGTTCACAACGCTCTCGCATCGAACATGAACCACCCTTGGGGGCTCCAGTGACTCCACAAACTTCCACCGGATCGTTCTGTACCTGTTCCCACGGACCATCTCCTGTAAGGGAAAAGAAATAAGCACCAACTTAATGAAGATGTGAATTGAATCATAGAATCACAGCCTGGCTTGGGTTGGAAGCGAGCTTAAAGCGAGTTCCAATCCCCTGCCATGGGCAGGGACACCTTCCACTAGAGCAGCTTGCTCCAAGCCCCTGTGTCCAACCTGGCCTTGAGCACTGCCAGGGATGGGGCAGCCACAGCTTCTCTGGGCACCCTGTGCCAGCGCCTCAGCACCCTCAAAGTAAAGAATTTCTTCCTTCTATCTAACCTAAATCTCCCCTGTTTAAGTGTGATCTCTACTGCTGAAGTTTGAAATAACAAGCATAGTACTATATACAATGAAGCTCATATTGTGCTTTCCCTCCCAGCTCTGTCTCTACTGTATCCAGAGCAAAATGAGACAGATGGTCAGGTTTAAAGCCTTAAACACCATGCAAGAGATGAAGGACACGCTGCATCCACAGGACCACTTACCGGGTAGCAGCGCTCTGTCACCAGGGAGTGAAGTTTCTGCTTGTTAAAACTGCAAGTGAAACACACCCAGTTACTTGAATATGCTTATTGTGAAGAGGCTTCCTCCGCTCCCTGCTTCCCCACAAGACTCAATCTACTGGCAAAACAGAAAAAGCAAACTCCTCAGCTGCCAACTCAGCACAAAATCAGGATCCATCATCACCTCATATCCCAACAATTCCCTGCAGTGTGATCCTGAACAGCACCAAGCACGCACTCATCTGCCAGTGACACAGAGCCTTGGGTGCCATGGTTTAGTGTGAGGTGTCCCTGCCCATGGCAGGGGGGGTGGAATGTGATGATCTTAAGGTCCTTTCCAACCCTAACTATTCTATGACTCTATGACACTCGAGGTGCAACAGCTCATCTCTCCTGCAGGGCAGGTGGGGGGATTTCCTGCAACCTGCCTTTCCTTATCAAAATGAACAGGTCCTGCCCAAATTCCCAACATTCTCCTCCTCTCAGATGGGGGCAGGAAAAGATCTAGTACCTGTGGCAGAGGAGGTACAAGGATCAGAAAGACAAGGAGGAAAAGCAGAGTATATTAGCAAAGAGCAGCAGGTTCTACCTAACTGCATCAGTCAGAGAAAGGGTCTTACTTTGCCAGGTAATTGTGAGCTTCAATAAATATCTCCTGTGCCTTCTCTGGGAAGGTTTTAGTGCTGAAATCCAGATCATGATCTTTTATCTTCCGCAGACTGAAAAGATAAGAAAAGCTTCACTGTAAGGAAAGAACAACTTGGAACTGTCTTGCGTGTTTCAGATGATGACAATGCTCTTAATTCAGCTCAAGCCCAGCTTCTACCAGGGAGCAACTGAGAATTGGAGACTCCCCACTAAGCCATAACCTCTGGGTGCCTGTAAAACACACACAGGGCTGCAAACACAAAGGATCCTCAAGAAAGTTGGGGCTGTTCAGCCTAGAGAAGAGAAGGATGGATGGAGACCTCATAGCAGCCTTCCAGTGTCTGAAGGGGGCCTATAGGGATGCTGGGGAGGGACTCTTCATTAGGGACTGTAGTGACAGGACAAGGGGTAACGGGTTAAAACTTAAACAAGGGAAGGAAGAAGTTCTTTACTGTGAGGGTGCTGAGGCACTGGAATGGGTTGCCCAGGGAAGTTGTGAATGCTTCATCCCTGGCGGTGTTCGAGGCCAGGGTGGACAGAGCCTTGGGTGCCATGGTTTAGTGAGAGGTGTCCCTGCCCATGGCAGGGGGGTTGGAACTGGATGATCTTGAGGTCCTTTCCAACCCAAACCATTCTATGAATCTATGAAAATGAGTGCACATGATACATGAGGACAGGAGCCTGGTGTTCACTCTCACACCAGGGACTCCTGGCTAAGTGGTACCGCAGCAACAATGGAAGACGAGGACAGAGAACAATTCCCCCCCCCCCCCCCCCCCAGTCTCACCCTGCAAGACAAAAGCAAGCAAAGCATCTGCACCACAGACTGATTAAAAAGGAGGCAGCACATACGCGAGCTGGGAGGCAGCAGTCTGCTTCA